ATCTGGAACTTTCACCTGACTGGAGCAGTGAATCTTCGGGTGAATCTTCATCTGTTGATTGGTCACCTGATTCTGGAAAGAAAGAGAAAGGTAAGAGTAAGAGGAAGAGGAAGAGGAAGAGGATTGAGACTCATCATAGTCGTCCCGATCTCGATCGCGGTGATGTGGGTGGCGATATGGAGGAGGAGGAGAACGAGGAAGAAGAGGAGAAGAAGAGGAAAGATGGGAGGAGGAGGAGGAGGAGGAGGAGGAGGGATTTGTCATCATTGCGTATTCCGTTAAGTATAAAGAATGTTGCGTTGAGAGGCTGTCAGATCAAAAACTGCCCTTGGGTTATTGGTGTGGCTGTGTACACGGGTTCACATACCAAGATGATGCTTAATAGCTGTCCAACCCCATCGAAGAACAGTAGATTAGAGAGGTTAATGAACGTTGAGACAATCTGGCTCACTGTTATCCTTATCCTTTTATGTCTGATCTCTGCCACATCATCATATCTGTTTATAGCAAACAAGGATCTCGAACAGATTCCGTACTATTACTTGGATCTTGAGAGAGAAACATCATCATCATCAGCAGCAGGAGGAGGAGGAGGAGGAGGAGGAGGAGGAGGAGGAGGAGAGAGGAGGATGAAAGTGGAAATGACCATGGCGGTGTTCTTCAGCTTCATCATCGTTTTCCAAGTGATTGTTCCAATCTCGCTGTACATTTCGATGGAGCTAGTTCGGCTTGGGCAGTCGTACTTGATGGTGAGAGATCGAAGAATGTTCGATGAAGATTCGTCAAACAGCACTCCGTTGCACTGCCGTGCTCTGAACATTAACGAGGATTTGGGTCAGATTACGTATCTCTTTGCAGATAAGACGGGGACATTGACAGAGAATCGTATGATTGTGCGGAGGTGTAGCATCAGGGGAGCGGATTATAGAATACTGGCAGAGGTGGAGGAGGAGGAGGAGGAGGAGGAGGAGGAGCAAAGGAAGGAGGAGGAGGAGGAGAGGGTCCTGGAGGAGGAGGAGGAGGAAGAAGAAGAGGGCAGAATTGAGGAGGAGGAGGAAGGGCGTGGAAAACATTCCTTTTTCGGCATGGACGGAAATAGCAAAGCGTCAGCAACTGATGAATCTGGACTAAAATCAAGTTCTGGACAGAAGTCGCGATCCCGACACTCTCATTATTACTATAATAACAAAGCAGGTAATGGTTTCCTCTCCTCCACTACTCTTTTTTTTTTTTTTTTTTTTTTTTTTTTTGGGGTTTTTTTTTTTTTTTTTTTTTTTCTTAAGGGCAATGGCCTTAGGGTATTGTCGTCGGACCAACCAGCCCAGGTTCATTGAATCTTGTTGTCTAATCTGACAGCGGGTGGCCTTTTCAGCCCAGGGTGGCCTTATTGTCATCAGGGAACCCCTACCTTCTTTCCCCGAATACAACGTACGGTCATTATAGCTGTGTGTATTTAGACTGAAAGATACCCCAGATACCCCAAATTCAGCTATAGTGTGGTCATTATAGCTGTATTTAGACTGAAAGATACCCCAAATTCAGCTATAATGACCGTACGTTGTATTCGGGGGAAGACTGTGGTTGGCGACACCAGCCAGGGGTCAGCCGGTAGCAGAGGGACTGAGCGTCATCTGAGTGGCCAGTCGCTGCGCCTCCCTGATTACCCCTCCCCCTATGAACATCAGCAGAGGTATTGGGGGTACCAATTGGGGGTACAAATTTGGGGTACAAATTGGGGGGAAAGAACGGCATATCTCTAGGTGGTGGGCGCCAAGTATGCCCAGGAAGGTACATGAGGCCGATGGGAATTGAACCCATGACCTCCTGAATGCTACTTGCGTGCCTTACCAACCGAGCTTCCCCGGAATACAACGTACGGTCATTATAGCTGTATCTGGACTGAAAGATGCCTCAAATACAGCTATAATGACCGTACGTTGTATTCGGGGGAAGAAGGTAGGCCGCTGGATCCTCCACCACTCACCTGAAGACTCTCTTTTTTTTTTTTTTATAAATACGTTTGTCTTTTTTTCTCCCTCTCTCTCTCTCTAAAAATCTTATCCTCGTCAAAAAAAAAAAAAAACCCTTTCCTCCTAGGTTACCAGCCGGGACGCCCGGGTCAGCCTATTTTACCGGGCGGCCCGGCCGTGCAAGGACCAGGGAAGGTCCCAGCGAAAAAAAACAACAACAGAAAAAACAAAACAGTCCGAAAAAAAATTATGGTATGCAGAAAAATAAACTGAACAACTTTTGCCTCAGGGTCACATCGATATTCGTTACCAAATTAAAAAATATATATATATATATTATTATTATTTTTTATATCGTTTTGGCCCGGCCGGGCAAGTGGACCCGAGGCCACTCTGATAACCTAGCTTTCCTCACCAAACAAAGAAAAAAGAAAAAAATCTCTCTTTCATTCTTTCTCTTTGCTATATCCGTCTTCCTCTTCTGTTTTTCTCTCTTGGAATCCGTTTTTCCAAAAAAAAAAAAAAAAAAA